TATCAGATTCATCATATCAGATTCATCATATCAGATTCATCATATCACATTCATCATATCACACATCATATGTCAATATGGGTTTGTATTTTTTTAAGGTTCCCGGGCCGGGATGTTTGACTATGGGGTATGCTTCGGAGGTATGCTTCGGGGGTATACTTCGGGGTATGCTTCGCGCAGTGTGAAGACTAAAGTAGTAGCATTTCGAGAGGGTATGCTTCAGGGTATGCTTCGCCTAAGTCGAACATCCCAGCCCTACATAAACTGGACACCTTAAAAGAGACAAGCCCATATGATTCAATATGTAAAAATATATACTCATATCTATCATATAAGACACATCTCACATCATGATCATATCGATTCATGTCTTGTATTCTTTTAACACACTTAATACATGGTTCGATTTGTTTGTTGGAATTGTTATGATGTGGTATGACATGAGACCAGCATTTGAACATCATTATCACATACCACATATGCACATATGAAGCCGTCATGCATGATGATATGACGTTGCTATGATATGATGTGGGCATAGGCAAATTTGTTATGGCAACATGCAATACGACAAGAGCATGTCATCGCATGATATGGATACGATATGACGCATACATGTTAAAATGTAATATTGTATTACAGTGTATGGTATGACACGAGCCAAACAGGTAATGATATGACATGTGTTGATATGGGTGAATACGATGATATGGCACCAGCATGCTAAGATGAATCATATATGATAATAAACTCAGCAAATAAGGCTATGCAACGATATAACATCACATGACCTGAGCATGTCAACAGTTGCTGTCATTTTGCCACTCCTTAAGTTAACATAATTCATTTTTTTTTTTGGGGGGGGAGTTTTCAACCAGATGGAACGGATTTCCGCTAGATTAATTCTGATCTCTTGGGAGACTGACCTCTGGACCTGACCTCTGCTCCAAAAACCAGATTGCTCAATGACAGAATGAGTTTCCCACACTTTACGTTGCACCTGAGGCCTACCACGTGAGCAAGCTCTTCGGGCCTTTCGGCCATGGGAGGTTGAAAGGGTCGGTTTTTCGAACGAAAAACGCCACCGAAGCACTGGCTGAACGAGGCTCAGAGGTTTTTGTGGAAGTACTGGTACAACCGGCCAGGTGTTTTGGAAGAAACTCCCGGAATCAAAGTATATATTGCAATTCTTCCATTTGATTTGGGGTTTGCAAATGGCAGGAATCCAGATCAAATCAATGAGAAGAGGTATGTAGAACCTGTTTGACCCTCAAAACGTTTGATGGCTTTGGCACCCTGCAGGGATTGGGAATCTCGGAATTGTATCACGTCTGGAATCTGACCAGAGTATGTGGAAGCAACATTGACCTGGTTTTGAAGGGAGCATGGCTGATCATGAAGTTGTTGGGGATGTGAACACCTAGGACCCATGATCATGGCATCGTCATTGGAAGTGACGAGCATCCCTTTGCAACGTGCTGTATGATGGTGCATCCAATATTTTTTTTGTTTTTTTGCATTTTTTCTTTGAAAGGTTGGCTTCCACCTGCAAGACAGCTTGGTTACACAATATATAGCTGAGCTGATTGACGTTCTTTTCTCATGTTTGGAGTGTAGGACACAGCAACCTGGATTTTCCAATCGGATTTTGGGTTGCAAGTATTCAGCTCCCCGAGAGTGGGTTCAGCTTCCCACTCCCCCAATCACGAACTCACCAACACACACATATGTCTCTAAAGAATCCACCGACGGTCTCCCTGCGGTTTGAACCTCCGGCGGTCAGAACGGAGGTCATGGGCTTCAGCTCCCAGGCGACAGACTGGTCACGCACGGACAGACAGGGCGAACCGACTGGTCGATTTGGCGAACCGACTGGTGCGACGAGTTCGTAGGGAAGCTGGGAAGCTTCGCCCCCAAGAGAGATTCCAAACTCGATCCAGCCACCCTGATTCCCTATGAGCTAAGTGGCACAGTAGAGTAAAAGTGAAAAGGAAGCAAAAGTCTGGTGGCCAAACTTGGGACAAGAAGTGTTTCTGCTCTTCAATCGAAAAGTCCAACTTCGCCTACCTGGTCGAGGAGCTCATGAGCAGAATGTCTCATTGGATGATGGAATCTTTGTAAAACTGGTCAATGAAGAAGCAGGAAGTCGCCTTAGGTCAGCCCTTGACCTGGTGTTTGATGAAGCTTTGTTTATTGCTCTGTGTTTCTACGGGTTGTGAGCAAGATTTATAAGGATTTTAAGCATGCAGCTGCCGCTCCATGCTTCTCCACCGACCTGCGTTTCTCTATTTTGTGGTGGCCAAGGACTGCAATGTTGTAGCAGTAGTCATGGATAGTGTTTTGTAGTACGTTTAGAACCAGTCAAGGGATGGGACTTGGTTGGGGATGCCCTTGGCTGTTGTGGCAATTTGGTTGTATCCAAGTTTCAATTCCTTGGACCCGGGTGCCTTATTCGGACATATTTGCAGACCAACTGGCGATGATCATGGTTGACAAAGAAACCAACTTATATAATAAATTGTGTCCAAGAAAACGGCAGACGAAGCTTATCCATCCCATCCTTTTGCTGGCGTTCAGCCTGGCCAGCTGTCCAAAGCCCCTAACCTATGACGTCATTACCAAGCAAATGCTGGCAGTGCAACGGAAAGGGTGCTCAAATCAAGCGCAGGAACAGTTCACAAAACGCTTTTCCAACGACAAGCACATGCATTTCCACGCGTTTGTCAAACAGAAACACCCTGATGACCTGATGCTGATACTTTTGGGCTCGCAGTTTGAAGGGCCGTACACTAGGTGTGAAAAATACGGTCGACAGCAAAGAGTCTCACAATTGGAATCTTGCGGAAGATTCTCGAAGCCTTTCGATCAATACGGAGACCCCCCAAACCACGGTGGTTTCGTTTATTTTCTCCCTTCCAGAGGTCTATGGGAGGTCCCCCTAAATCAATATACATCCAGGTCTTGGTCTTGGTCTAGTTGATGTCGGCACATGTTATGGGTGAAAAACCTATGCCGCGATGCGGTCTTTTTGTATGCGGGCTGTTTGTGCGTGCTGTCCTTTGAACCGCTCAAGCACCAAGACTGCCTGATTTCACTACTGCAAATCTTGCAAGTATCTTCTTGTTAATCCCAAATTTGAAAGCAGAGTGATTCGACTCGACCGTCGAACATCAACCCTCATTACAATCTCAAATGTTTTTTGACGATGACAATGAGGGAAGATGCATTGCGAGAGCCGCAATAACGACGACAATGTTGTGAGGGCAACACAATGCTGTGGCAATGCGTAACCCTCACCCCCTCCCCCTGTCTCCAATCCGCCTCAAAGTTTAGTCCAACAACTCAACAACGCTTTGTCGACAATGATGAACGCCCGGTGACCGTGTTGGGTTCGATTTCGCCGAACGTGCGGAGATGATGACCATGTAATCGTGGAGACGATGATGTTGATGCGGAGACGACGATGAGTGGGATTGAGATATGACTCGGAACAAGAAGCTACTAGGGCTCTCGGCATCGCTACTAGGAGCAAGGATGCTACTAGGGGCTCCTGGCCTTACTACTAGGAACAAGAAGCTACTATAACTGAGGTGAGATTTTAGCCCCGAGCTCCCAGGTTTACTGGCAATAGATCTGCTGTATTTACATGCCGAACTGTTAGTCTGTGGTGGTGTAACACTTCGGTACACTGGTTATCATTCAGTTTGTGAAGTTCACCCTCTGGGAAGGTTGTATCCTACAAGAAAGGTTTCCACTCTTTTTTTTGTTTAGGCAATCGGTGCCTTACGTGGAGCCCTGGGTCAACAATCGGTCCAGTTGTCAACCTTCCTCTTCCATTCGGTACGCCAATCGGTGCAGTTCAGACAGGTAGGTACACGTGACCGGTCTGGACGCAAGCTGTCTGTGTGACCTGTCTGAACGGTCTGAGCTCCAAAGGGGTCGCTGAAGTCCTGCGAGCCCAAGTGACTGAGACCCGACGCTGAGACCCAACGGGACGAGTTCGTCGCCAATCGGTGTGTGGACGAAACGAAGAACGGGCAAAGACATTGCCAGACTGTGGTCAAAGACATTTTGGATGAACAGGTGGGGAATGGCGGCTGGCAACACACAGACTTTTTGTCCACGGCGATTCGTGGGGAACCCATCACCAGGCTTTGAGCCCACCACGAAGCAGGTGACCACGAAGCTATGGTATATATCAAGTCCTGGTTTTGAGCCGCACTTTCTTGGCGGAGCTCCGGCAACTTGGGGAAGGTTTTGGAGATGGAGGGGGGGTTCCGACAGGAAGAGGGCGAGCCCTTCATCATCAAAGAAGCCAATGCCTCAGATGATTGCCACACACTGGCTGTATCTTCTTGTAAGACTCGAGGAGTCCATGAGTTCCAAACAAAGAAGACTGGAAGTCTCTCTTCTTCTCTTGTCTTTCACGTCTCTCACGTCTTGCTTGCCACATGCCCTCTATCATCCACTCTGGTTCCCACTCTCGCTCTCAGTTGACTCTCCTCTTTCGGCATGTTTTTCTTTCTGCTCCCTTCCTCGCCGCCCCAGGTCAGTGCCGACGCAGAGGTGCTCCGCCGGGTGGCCGCCTCCAGTGACGCGCCCGCGGAATAGCCGGTGGGCAAAGAAAAGGGGCGAGTGCGATGGGTTTCGGAGCGATTGAGGGCCGAGCTCCCCAGAGAGCAGGGACTGAGCTGAGGATCTTTTTTTGTTCTGCATTAACTAGTTTTCGTGGTTTGTGAGTCTTCTTTTGGCAGCCTTCACTTCCCAATGATCCACCACTGACTGGGCCTTTGCACTTTCAATGTCGGGTGAGCGTGTTGGTTTGAGGGAAGGCTTGATAGTTTCGTGACTTCGAAGGATCAGTCAGGGGGGTGGACATCAATTCACCTGACACGAAACTCTTTTGGTGTGAGCTCATCCTGAGGAAATGGCCTGGTAGGGAGAGACTCATGGGAGGTGACGCAAAATGGTTGATAGCTTTTAGAAGATCAATGAAGACAAGATGTTTCAATTTGGTTCATGTCCACTGCTTTTTCAGAACGACTTCAACCTATTTCAAGCACAGACGATGTCGACTTCGCACCTCAAAGGGCTTTGAACCGAGATCGATCTGCGTGCCGAGAGGATGCTCACCGGTTGGCCTCGGTGGGCCATGATGGGCACCTGTGGGGACCGTCGGAGGGGAATCGGTGGGAGGGCTGTGCTTTTGGGGCCCTGGGGTCTGTGGGGATTGGGAAGGAACGAATGATGGGTCAATAATCGTGTGGCCTTTGTAGAGTGTTTGGACAAGATTTGGAAAGGCTGTGGAATGTGCGCGTTTACCTGAAAATGTATACAAAGACTCCAGTATAAAGGCCGGAATGCGTTCTTTGGATCTCGGAAATCGCACATTTGGAGCGCATGGGATTTGATTCACAGTTTTGGAAGGCCTCAGCTTCCCGGGAACTCTCACTGGGCGTCCCCTCGGGTCCACGGATGGACACGATTGTGGTCTGACGTGCTGTGGTTTCAGAGAGGTTTCAGAAGCACCATCTCCTATACCCATTGGCAAGGTGATTTGGTTGGCGGTCTGAAGATTAGTTTCCAACAGGGGTTAGTCCAAGAGATGTCGGCTGTCCGAAGGTCTGCTCCATTCATCAATGTGTGCGAAGCTTGGGGTAGAACATCGTTTTTAGGGATCATCTAGCCAACCAAAGGGTAAACGCAACAGGCACAGGATAGTCGGCATCAGGGTGGAGGGTTCGACCCATGTTATACTGTCATAGTGTTGGTCGATTGTTTTTTGGTTGGTTGGTTGGTTGTGGCCACTTGACTTTGACGACTTCCAACACTTCCCCCCGGAAGCAGATCTCCAAATCAGGAATGAATCAGTTTTTTGTTTCTCACCTGTCCCAGCAAAACTGGGACTGAATCTTCACACCTGAAAGTCTTTGTGCCGTTCACACTGAACATGCCGACCGTCTCAGCCAACACGTGACATCGACGCCGTATCAGCATGCGAAGCATCAACGATCCGCACCGTTTCACCCAACGCCGGGCACGGATTCGTTTCGTGAGGCGCGTTCGGCCTGGGGGCACGGCGGGACATGGCACGGCACGTGGGTTCACGCGCTGATCCTTCATCCAAAGTAAGGCTTTTGTCTAAGGGCTTGTGGCCGTTTTGGAGTCCGGTCTTTCCAACGATCCAACGGTTTCATTCAAGTATGGTGCAATGTTGGCTATTCCAACAGTCCATGGGCCCTAGTTGATGGTGGAACTGGCGTTTTCATCATTGCTCCCCAATTCTGGTGTTCGCCATCAGAAGAATCGCCGCATCTTTCGGGCTTTTTTGTGGTTGAGCCGGTTGAGCAGAAGCGATGAGAATCGGTCGCCAGGCCGAAATTGGGCTTGTCACGTCTGAGAAGAAGACGGGTGACTTGCTTCTCACACATCAATGGGCTTCCATCACTTTGTTTCTTTCCAGGGCCAGCGGCGGGCCAACGGGTACCTGTATTTGTCTTGACACGGTCAATCATGAGCTGAAAGCAACTTCAAGCAGGGCAGCTGAGTCTGCTGAGTTCGTCCTCACAATCTGTTTGAGCCAGGCCCGAGGCAGCTGAAAGTTGGGGGAGGTGGGGAAGTTGTGGGGAATTGAGGGAGGAGTGGGAGCAGGGTGGAGCCTCAGAGCTTTCAGAAGTTAATCTATATTCTTTTGGAAACCTTGGATGGTCTTGGGAGGATTTGTAGCTCTTTGACTACTGCCAAACTCCGAAGCTCAAGCTGGGAGCTCTGTGTCCAGGATCTGCCCTTCAAAGATTTGAATTTCAGGACGTGACATGCTCAAGATTCACACAGAACTGGTCACCATGAACTTGGTCTGTATTCTCCAGTTCACATGGAGAGATTCGGTTTGGACCTTCCCGGTCGAGACGACCGCTTGGGGGTCCGTGGGTCCTAGAAGGTGGTTCTCGTCCTTCGCTGTGCAGATGGGGCCAAAATCGTTCCGTGAGACGGGGGCGCATTTGGCTCCGTTCGTAGCGTCCTTGCTCCTAGTAGTAGGGCCAGGAGCCCCTAGAAGCTTCTTGTTACTACTAGTAAGGCACTTGTTACTAGAAGCGATGCACTTGTTACTAGTAGCGTCCGATCGCTCCTAGTAGTAAGGCCAGGAGCCCCGAACGTAGCGTTCCTGGCTCCCAGTAGCGATGCCAGCCCCTAGTAGCGTCCTTGCTCCTAGTAGCTTCAAAGACCGACTAGTAGCTTCTTGTTACTACAAGTGAAACGACTCTGAAACGATTCCCAACGAAGCTTCTAGCTACAAGTAGCATATTTTCTTCTAGTAGCGATGCCCTGTGTTACTAGTAGCTTCTTGTTACTAGTAGCGACGGCCTCCAACCTACTTGCGATGGCCTCCACCTAATAGCGTCCTTTGCTACCTATGCCGGAAATGCTCTTGACTCATGACATGTTTGACCTTGTCCCCATGGGTTCCATGATGTTCTTGCCGCCCGGCCGCCCAGCCTTTGTGCTTGAATGTTCCATGCCCGGCAGTGTTACAGTGACACATTGACAGCTGCCAGACCAACGACCGTGTTACTCATTGTTGGCCGGGCCATTCTCTCGGGTCTTTTGGCGCGGGGTGGGAGATTGCCATGGTGCAGAC